AATACAGATATAAACCTTTAAATCTCATTTTTAGTTTACAAAAATAAACTTAAACATTTTCATTTTATATCTCAGCCTCTTGCATAGGGTATTTCAAACAAGTTTAAACAGTATATGCTTCAGTTAAAACTTCAAAGTAAGGTGTGAATTGTAAAGAGTAGACAATGGTTCACTTATTTAGTCTGCGTTATAAATTTGATGTATCATGCCAGGTTTGGTTATAATGCCTAGACCTTTGTGGGTGAGAAAAACAAAATTATATAAATGCAAAGCAATCCTTTGAAACCATTTATGTTGGTAAATATATGCCAAAAAAGATAGTATATTTAATACTAATGCACAAAGGCATGCATGAGGAGGATTCTAAATGTTTATGACATCACGATCAAAATCTAGCTAAGAAATTGTCCTCAAAATCTAGCTAAGAAATTGTCCTCAAAATCTAGCTAAGAAATTGTCCTCAGAGAGACTAAAACAAGTTGCATTGGCTTGTACCTACACCAGTGACAGAACTACATAAATCACAGTAGTGATAATAAGACATGTCTGCCCAGAATTAATAGGATGCACTCTTGGATAATCAAAGTCTCAAATAGTTTTATAGTGGGGACATCTGCTGGATGAATATGTCCTAACTGTGGGGCTGCTGATATGAAAAAGTGGAATTCCCATGGTGCTAAGCAGCAAACCTTAACATTTCTCTATATATATGAGTATAAAGTAACTTGATATTTAGATATGTGCATGCTTAATGTACTGAGTGTTACGCACGATAGTTCTTACGCAATCAAAATAAAATGTACCAATCCGAAACAAGATTTAACGTGAGAATGAGGGATGAAATTATTTTATCCTACTCTTATAAGACCGTAAGAGTAGAGTAAGATCTATAAGTAAGATAAAATTAACCTTATAAGTAAGATAAAATTAGCCTCAAAAAGTGGCTAGAACTGACAAGTTGTGAAGTTGCCTGTGACAGACATTGAACCAACATTACATTTTATTTTATTTTATTTTATTATTTTATTTTATTTATTTTGCCTGTGGTTTCCCAGATGAACTATGCAATCTGAAGATTTAGGTTAAAAAGAGGATAGCTCCTAAGGGTTCCAATTAGCTGAGTTGATTAAAGCATTCATTGAAAGCAAAATCACATATTTGAATGACTCCATATTCTCATAGATCAATTGCTATTTGTTCAATGACTGTGAGCCAAAACATGTCACACTTGATTCGTCAGCAGTCCATGTCTTTGTATTTGTAGTACTGTATGGCTGACACCATGCATCACTGTGTTGGCAGACAACTCGAGAGTACCTGTTTCTTGACTTCTTTGGAGACAAAGGCTTATCAATTATTTAGTGCCTTGGCATCTTGAGTTCTCTGCCAAGAAGAACCCCAATCTAGTTCAAAAGTAGATTGGGGTATTTGTCAGAACTCATTTCAAATCTCTGTTCCTTTAGTCAAACCTCTGCTGTTTGAGAAAGATAACTTAACCTTGTTGAGTCTCAATTTCTTTTAAAGTAAAAAATAATACCTATATCAAAAGGTTATTGTGAGAATTAGCTGAGGTGATGTATACAACATTCATACATTCTTAGCATAGTGCCTGACAGAAGGTGGGCATTCAGCAACTATCCATCGAATAAATATTTTCAGCCACGGATACTCTGTATGAAGAGAAGTGTAAATAGAATCTCCACAAGAAGCAAATGCCATTAGGTTTGAAGTCTAGATGAATTCATTTTACATAGCTTCCCATCAAGAGACAATCTGGTTCTAATCAAACCAGACAACAATGAATGGAGAAAAAATCTAGAGCATTTTCTTAGATTTTATGTGCATTTTATTTTAAGGCTAGGTGCAATGGCTCATGCCTGTAATCCCAGCACTTTCAGAGGCCGAAATGGGCGGATCACAAGGTCAGGAGTTTGAGACCAGCCTGCCAGCATGGTGAAACCCCATCTCTACTAAAAATACAAAAATTTGCCAAGCATGGTGGTGCATACCTGTAGTCCCAGGTACTCTGGAGGCTAAAGCAGGAGAATCGCTTGACCCCAGGAGATGGAGGTTGCAGTGAGTTGAGCAGAGATTGCACCTTTGCACTCGAGCCTGGGTGACAGAGCAAGGCTTGCTCTCAAAAATAATAATAATAAAGTTGTGATTCAGTGGGTGAATCTGAGAGGCTGCATTTCCAGCAAACTCCAAAACTCCAGGGAGTCCATATGTTGCTGTCCACTGAATGTATTTTCACAAGGCCCTAGGGCATTTGAATGCATGACAAAAAATACTGCACTTAGATCTCTCTTTGTCTAGACCAACATGCTATTTCCTAGAACAACTCAAAATTTCTTTAACAAAAAATGATTTAGTGCTTTCCATGTTCCAGGCACTATTTTGTGTTCTAAGTATAAAGTAGCAACCAGGTCAGATATGGATAACACTCTCATTTAGTCTAGTGGTAAAGTCAGGCAATAAACATGTTAACCAACTAATTAATATAGATTCTAGTGGTAATTAAAAGTACAACAAAAATAAACTGAAGTGACTGGAAGAGTGTGTATGGTCAATGAAGTCTCCTCTAGGAGGGAGAAAATTGAATGCAAACTTGAATGCTGAGAAACAGGCTTCTGTGTGAAGACCTGAAATTTTCATACAAAGTGAAGAGAAAGTACAATACTGCTGAGACAACAGTAGGCTTGATTTGCAGAGGAAAGGGAGAAAAGGCATTGTGGCTAGAACATAAAGCTTCAGCCTAAATGTGAGACAGTGATCAGAGCAGTGAAAAGGGACAAGATCATACCTGGAAGAGCTGGGGGTGGTGCAGAAGTCACTCTGAAACCATCAGGGAAATCTCAGAAGTTGGTCGTAGATGGGTTTTAACAGCACCACAGAGGATTAAGGGTGGTGGAAGAAATGATCCTACAGGAAAATACGCCTGGCTGAGCAGAACAAGATGATTGAAAAGGAGCTAAAATAAGATACAGGACACAAATTGCCAGGAGGGGGGGTGGCGGGGGAAGCATAACTTAGAAGAGAAGAAAGGTCAAAATTGCACATTTCTTTGGTTTACATGACGACAAACAAAAATGTATGACTTGTGCCAGGCAAGCTAATCGAATGCACCCTTGTAGCAAACTCTCCATTGCCAGAGAATAAATTATATTTTTCTGAATAGAAAAGATTGGGTAGCTATTAGAGGAGACACAAAACTGCAACGTTTGTTAGATATAGAATATGGTCCCAAAGTTTTCTTGCTTTCCACAGAGTATTGGAAACAAAAGTGAGAGAAGTTAGGTGGTACAATGAAAGACGGCAGTGAAGGAAACAAGGTATAAGGGAGGCCCCCTTGCCCTAAGAAAAAGCCTAGTAAAAAAAGACGCATCATTATCATGTCAAGTGTAAAATATGAAAGGCCTCATACTAGAATGATTTAACTAAGAATGAATAATATAACATTTACTCAATTGTACTTTTAATGAGGCTCCCTTACTTGTGAGTAAGTCTAATGATTTAAGGCCCTGCCATGTAGTGGCTATTAACACGTAGGTGTATTCCAATTGACTTCTGATTTTGTCTAATGATCAAAGGCTCTGCAAGCTAGTAGCTATTAACATGTTAGAGCTTTTCCAATTCACTCCTGATTTTCTGTCTTGTTTTTAAAATATATGAATACATTAAAATGATGTCCCTAACTCCCCAAGTGAGAATCAGCTCGGAGTATTTTGTTCAGTAGCCGCTGCAAGAAATGGGAAGGTTAGTCACCCTTTCTCACTGGAATGCCTAATGCAAGGCACATGTTTTTTATATATTCATCCAGAATTATGATTATATTCTGTGGGAAAATAGCAGGTTAATTTTTGTTTGATTGCGTATGCATCTTTTTTGTGTAGCCTGGATAAGATGCTATTCTATGACAATCAACTACCAGAAATCCAGCCATTTAACATTTACTATCTGTTCCATTCCATTGACCTCATTTAGCACTTACATTAATCAACTAAACCAGATTTCAGAGTTTTTATTCTACCCTGTTTTGATTATTCCATTGGTTGTTTTTGGCCTTTGTTAACAGCAACAATATTTTGTTTCTCATTGGCCTTTTATGTATCTCATTTCACTCATTCAGCAAATACCAAATGAATGTCAATTTTTTGGTCAATCTCTGGAGTGTCAAAGGCAAAGTGAGGGAGTGGAGTGAGATGAGACTAGGAAGAGAAACATAGCAAGGTCATTTGCGGTCCTGTAAACTTTTGAAAAATCTGGCCTTTATGTTAGGAGCGCCAGGAAACTAATGAAAAATACTGAGCACCGGAGTGACACCTTGTTACTTCTGCCATTTGCTTGTTTGGTCTTGTTTCCCTCCCTCTCCAATTGGGATCACCTTAAGCTTTGACTTTATAATGTTGTCCTATCATACATTTCCTGTCTATTTCCAACTAACAATTTCTTATGAAAGAAGGTTGCCAATTATATGAAAATAACTACCCTGAGAGACACAATAGAGTTTGTAAATAGACACCTATTAGTTGGTTCATGAAAACATAAGATAGATGCTATGGATAGTCATTATTTGTAAATCATGACTGATCTCCAATAAAGAAATAAAGAGGGGACATACTTTGTTAATGCTCCTTATTACAACTCAAAAGTATGAGTATAAAATTTAATACTTAATGGGCAGGTATCTGTGGCATAAGAATCCTCTCAACATTGTGCATGATCTACCCATGTATGCTCCTGAGAATGAAAGAAGCCTCATTTAGGGTCATGAGTGTATGTGTGTGTGTGTATGCTTGTTCCTGGTGTTCTATTAACATCTGGCTATAGTAGGAAATCCCTCTTTTGGCTTTGTATTTTTGTGTGTGTATGTTTTTTGTTTGTTTGTTTTTAAGTAAGACCAAAAGAAAGATAATGTAACTTATCTGGGTACCCAGATTCAGTTGCTCATTTTACATTGAATTAACAATAATAGTTGTTGATGGTCATGTCTTCCCCAGGAGAAGAAGTTGACAGACTGCTGTGCAGAGATGCCATCTTCCCCATCCCTGTGGCCTGTGATGCCCCATGCCCGAGAGACTGTGTGCTCACCACATGGTCTACGTGGTCCTCCTGCTCTCACACCTGCTCAGGGAAAACCACAGAAGGGAAACAGATACGAGCACGATCTATTCTGGCCTATGCGGGTGAAGAAGGTGAGTCGCCAGCTTCAGACGCCATCTAGGTTCATTTCAAAAGTTAGTATGCATCTTTTTTGTGTAGCCTGGATAAGATGCTATTCTATGACAATCAACTACCAGAAACCCAGCCATTTAACATTTAACATCTGTTGATGTGTAGAGAAATTTGATCCTGTTCCCCAAAACTGATCTTGAAAATGGATCATTAATAAAGGAGGGAAGACTTTTAAAAGTGAACTCATTTTGCTTTTTCCCAGCCTCCCAGTCATTAGAGTTCTTTGTAAGCCAAAGTGTTAAGCCTTTGAATACATCTGAAAATGGTTCTCAAAATTCCAGATGTTTCATTGTTTTTTTCTGAATTTCAAAAGTCGGTTTTATCCTTTGAAATCATATTCTACTTTTTCATAAATAAATACATATGTCCAATAATAAAGTTTATTTAAGACCACCACAAGCATATCTACTGTTCGACTGAAAGTTGCAATTTTCAGTTTCTTTCAGTTTCTTGAATACAGGCTCTGAGATCCAGAAATCTCATAAGTAAATCTTGTTCATTTTTAAAATATGTTGCTCCTAAATCACTTCACCCTATAGGGTGAATAAAGCATGTTTGTCACATATTTATACCTCTCTTGCGAGCTTTATTGCCAAGAAATACAAGGCTCTTGGTAATTGTCTCTCAAGATGATATCCAAATGCTAATTTGGCCTCTGTGTGACTGGGCGATGTAATGTCATACTTAATCTTGTCATTCTGAAAAATAACACAGGAGTGAGAAAAGCATAAAAGTCAATCAAGTTTGTTCACATCAAGGCATGTTCTTAAGAATATAAGTATATGTTATTTAAACATTATCAAGCTAAATGACTCTTTGTTCACATTTAGCACTGGTAGATGATTATTTCTGTTTGTAATAAGCTTAATATTTTATGTTTTCCTCAAATTGATAATTTGGGGGGAGTTCTGTGTTGCCTATACCTTTTTCTTTTCTTCTGTTTATGAAGTATTTTAGTGATAGAAACAGGATAGTTTTCCTGGCCATATTTGCTGTGTGTGTAATAACTATGCAAACATATAACTACCTCGGTCTTTGCACATGGGTGTTACATGACTAAAACAAACATTTTACATACAACAAAAGCCAAGCTGTGTGAAATTCTAGATTTTATTTATAATGTTCAGAAAATTTTTCTACCATCTTAATATATACTTAACTCCTTGCTTCAAAAAGTGTATCTATTGAAAAATAGAACCTTTTACAAAGAAAATTCTGTTTCTTGTGTTGTCATACAATGACTGTAACTTTGTGAAGATTGTATGCAGACTTCAGACTCTATCAGCTCAGATTGTGTCTTGGGCTTCATTAAAATTAGATCTGTGGTCATCCTGCTTCCCGTAAATTCATTATACCCAGAAGACACTTGCTGCGTGACTAGTAATGAGTGACTTTTCACCCCGTAAGTCACATGGCAAGGATTTTGCTATGCTTGCAGAACTCACTAGATCATTATTCCTGAAGACATGTTGCTTCACACTGAAAGGTCATGAAATGTTTTAAAGGCAGAAGTTTGTGATTGCTCTTTGATGTGTATTGTCCACTTAGTTTGAAAGGGTAAGTCTTTGATAATTTTTAATTAAGTTTAGTGGTTGCATTACAAGCAAGTTGTGCTGGAAAGTTATAGATGTTTATATAGTAAATCATAAGGGTATTAATTTAAAACATAATTTTATTTCTTAAAGTTTTGTTTTAATTGATACATAATAATTGTACATATTTATAGGCTACAGTGTGACATAAATTGTATAATAATCAAATCAGTGTAATTAGCATATCCATCACCTCAAACATTATTTCTTTTAGCAAGGGCATTGAGAATCTTCTAGCTATTTTGAAATACATAATACATTATTATAAAACATGTTTTTAAATGGAAGCCATAAAAGAAACTCTGTTAATGCTATTTGTCTCTACTGCTATTTACCTGTTACTAACATTTATAAAAGCTGGTATAATTATACAAAATTTATACTTCGAAGCCTATTTATTTAGTACCTATTATTTGATGGACACTGGAACACATTTTATGAGAAATTTATACTTCAAAGCCTGTTTATTTAGTACCTATTATTTGTTGGACATTGAAACACATTTTTCTTACTCAAAATAAATATTTTCTAATTCTGAACTTTAATGATTTAGGAACAGTATCTGCAGGAAGTTTTAAAATATGTTTCCCTGTTACTTAGATAACCCTTTATAATTCTATACAAAAGTAGGTCTTTCCATTATTCTTCAAGAATTAGTCCTTCGTGTCATAAATGTTCTTAAATTCCTGTGGATCAGACACTGATAGTGATAACTTTAAAGGAAAGTGTCACATTGGAGAATGATATATGGAGTGTTTAGACAAGAAATTGTATGATTTTCTATGGAAATAACGTGTAGGATAAGTCCATGTGAAAAATAGATCTGGAATTTATGAAATAAATGCTCCAACCTGTACTTTTGTTTCCCTTAATTGGAATGCCACCATTAAACAATATGGAAGGTTAGATAACTCGTTGTAATTATTAAGATAGACTAGGTTGTGCTTCAGTAATGGACAGCCCAGACATTCAGGAGCTTTAAAGAACAGTTTTATTTACTTGTTCCTCATGGAAACTTAGCTACAATTTGGGTAACTCTCCAGGGCAGTTTGTCCTTCAGGAAATGTTACAACGTTGCATCATCATGTGAAGACCTGGTCCCACAATCTTTGTGTGCCAGAGGAAGAAAATACTTGGAGAATCTATCTGTGGATTTTAAAGAATCAGCAATTCTCTCATCTAAGAGTGATTTATGTCATTTCTCTCATTTCATTGTTAATGTAAGTTTTATAACTATGCCTAACGTCAAGGAGAATGAGGAAATATAATCCTATTGTGTGCTAAAAAGAGAGGAGCATTGACTAGTAGTCTTATTCCTGATTTACTCTGTGTTCTTATTGTGTATATATGCATCAATATCTATATCTATATCCATAGATGGATGATAAATAACTAATCCATATGGTCCCAGTTCAGTAGATAAAACAGGGCTCTCCATTGTGAAGATGTTAGGATGAATTATTTTTCTTCCTCTTAAATGAATGACAGAATGATAGAATGATGCTTTCTCTTCCTCATACTGTACTTCATTCTTTTCCTTTTCCTTTCCTTCACTTCCTTTTATTGCTGCGCTCTTTTTCTCCTTTCCTGAACAATTCTATCCAAAAAGCCATTCGGGAAAACCATGCAGTTGGGCATCTGAGGTCTACAGTGATCTAGAGTGGGTTGTCAGAGCCCAGCTGGGTGAGGAGCAACTAAAGTGGGAAAAGAGGTGGCTTGGCATGCAGTTTCAGAGCCACTGAGCAGGGTGAAGGACAGGGGCACCTGCATTGTGTGAGAGAATAGAAGAGTGACTCAACACTGGAGGTCAGAGCATAGTAGGGCTAAGAGAGAATCTCAGCTTCAAGGCAACCAGCCCAGTGTGGGGTGTCACAGCCAGACACAGTTGAGGAGGGTTTCTGTCTTATGGGTGGCCTCATGCGGGATGTCAGATCTTGAGCAGAGTGATGAAGATATATTGTGGGTATAGCAATGGAGATGACAATGGGAGATGGAGTGTGGACTGAGAGGAAATTGGCAAAATAAGTACATGTATTTAACATCATAGGAGTCAGGTTTTTTTTATTTCTGGAGAAGAGAGTTGCAAATATGTTAGGAAAGAAAACTAGTACACTCTGTGGTACAGTGCTGGAATTGGATGTTCTTAATATTAATTTATTAATGTAAACTTGTGTTCAGTTTGTAAAGATAGAGTAAATATCAATGAAAGTATACAAATGTAGGTATGTACATATTGTATACATTTATACATGTATTAGCCTCATTCACTGAAAAGACCTGAAAGCAGCAAGACCCTAAGAGCAGTAAGTATATGCAGCAGTCAGATTTTGGTTTCTAATACCATTCTCTAATAAAGGAACAAAGGCTCCTTTGAGAAATGGCTGATTCCACAGCTGGGATAGAAGAAATAGTACAAGACAGGCCAGGAGGATCTCGTGGTAGAAAGTAGAGAATCGTCAAAAGGCCACAGAAGCCAACTTAAATGTTCTCCCACTGACCATGTACATCAACAATTTTAATAACAAACAAAATAATAATACTAACAGACCATCGAATAGGAAATCGTGGATCCACACTTTATGTTATAAATAAAGGAATAAATTGAATCTCAAGAAAAGCATTGTATTTACATAGTCTCAAATATTCCCTAATAGAGAAGTCTGACAGACATCTCTAATCTAGTGACCAAAGTTAGCATTATTGATAACGGAGCAAATCGAAATCTTGTGTCCCCAGTGTGATATATAATGAGAATATGACATCACTTCTGCAATAACCCTATCAAATATGCATATATAGAATCTAATCATGAGGGAACATCAGATAAACTCTAATTCAAAGACATTGTACAGAATAATCTTTAATCTTCCAGAGTGTCTAAACATGAAAATGAAGGAACGATTGAATAACTGTTCGAGATTTAAGGAGACTAACAAAGTGTGACATCTAAATGTAAAGCTTGATTCTGAACTATAAAGGACATCTTGGGACAGTTGGCAAACTTAAATGGGATCTGAGGAGTTAATGGTAATAACTTACCAGTGTTTGTATTCTGATTTTCAGATTTTGAATACTGAATTGCTTATGTGTAGGAGAATGCTCTTGATTGTGGGAAACACATACTAACATATTTAGGGTGATGGACATTATTTCACCTTTTTCCAAATGGTCCAGGAAAAGAAAGTTATTTATATCATACTTTTAATTTCACTGTAAGTTTGAGATTGGTTTAAAATTAAATATGAAAACAAAACAAATCTGTATATAATTGCTTTCTACACAGTCTTTCTTTTTTTGAGATGGGGTCTCACTGTGTTGCCCAGGCTGGAGTGCAGTGGCCGTATCTTGGCTAACTGCCATTTCTACCT